AGTTCCTCCAAAAGTCCTCGAAGCCAAATAGCATCCTTTACAGCCTCCGTAACTGCCATATACTCTGCCTCCGTCGTAGACAAAGCCACCGTCGACTGTAAGGTGCATCTCCAACACACCGGCGCACGGGTCAAAGTGAACACATACCCCGTCGTAGACCGGCGCTTATCCAAATCCCCGGCATAATCCGAATCAACATAACCAATGCACAATTGCTCACCTGTAGTGTCCCGCTCATAAACCAAACCAACATTGAGCGTACCTAGAATGTACCTCAAAATCCATCTCACGGCATCCCAATGACCCACTCCTGGATCGTGCATGTATCTCGATACCATGCTTGTGTCAAACAAATTCTGCCCTTCTTCTTGTCTCTGCCGATCTCCATCCCTAGAATGCGCTTTGCCTCACCCAAGTCTTTCATCTCAAACTCATTTGAAAGCTGAACTTTCAACTCATCTATAGCCGATCTGGAAATAGAGGCAACCAACATGTTATCGACATAGAGCAACAAATAAATGTACGCACCTCCTTTCAACTTGCGAAAATATATGCAAGGATCAAACTGACTCCGAGTGTACGAATGACCAATCATAAAACCATCAAATCGCCTATACCACTGTCGAGGAGACTGCTTCAAACCGTATAGCGATTTCTTCAATCTGCAAACTAATTTTTCCTTCCCTGCAGCTCGGAATCCCAATGGCTGAGTCATATATATTTCTTCATCAAGATCACCATGAAGAAATTCCGTCTTCACATCCAACTGATCTAATTTCAAACCATACTGTGCCACCAAAGCTAGCAGAATCCGAATCGAAGAGTGCTTCACCACCGGAGAGAAAACCTCATTATAATCTATTCCTTCCTCCTGTGCATAGCCCTTCGCAACCAACCTAGCTTTGAACCTCAATGGAGTGCCCTCAATGCCCTCCTTCTTCGTGTACACCCACTTGCACCCAATCGCCTCTTTGGAAGCTCAACCAGCTCCCATGTATCGTTCTTATGAAGAGATTCCATCTCCTCCTGCATAGCCACCTGCCACGAATCAGCCTCCGAACTCTGTTCGGCCTCTCTGAATGTAGTAGGCACTAACTCATCGATACTCTCCACCGGAAGTACATACGCAACTGTGTCGGCATACTGTGCTGGCATCTGTATGTTTCTCCTCTGTCTCCTAGCCACAATAGAATCCTGAACCTGAGCCGTCGGTTCTTGATTCTGCACATTTGTACTCGTATCCTCCGTATCACCATCGTGCTCGCCTGGCGTCACCTCAGTCGGCACCTGCATGGATACTGTACCATCTGGACAATGTGGAGCTGCATCGATCTCCACCACCTGCGATATCTCCTCCGTCGGATCGTTCTCCACCTGATGAGAGCTGGGAAGCTTCAAGATAGAAGCCTCATCGAATGTGACGTCCCTACTCAGCACAATCTTCTTATCAACTGGATCCCAAAGCTTGTATCCCTTGACACCACGCTTGAATCCTACAAATATGGCCTTCCTAGCTCGAGGTTCCAATTTATCAGTTCTAACATGATAATATGCAGGGCACCCGAATACCTTGAGCTGGTCATAATCATGTGCTGGCTTTCCCGACCACATCTCCATAGGGGTTTTCCCCTCAATCGCAGATGAAGGCAGCCTATTAATGAGGTGGCTCGCATATGTAAGTGCCTCAGCCCAAAAGATCTTCTCCAAACCACTCTGCGACAATAAGCATCGGATCTTCTCCAGTAAAGACCGATTCAACCTCTCTGCCACCCCATTTTGCTGAATAGTCATCAACGAACGTGACGAACCAATGTCGACCACCAAGTGATGCAGTCTTGGTAGGACCCCAAATGTCTGTGTGCACATAGTCCAGGATGCCTCTCGTCTGATGAATGGCAGTCCCGAACTTCACCTTCGTCTTCTTGCCAAGAACACAGTACTCACAGAACTCAATCTTCCCACTCTTGGCTCCCTTCAATAGCCCCTGCTTGCACAATGCCTGCAGTGACTTTTCACCTGTGTGCCCCAATCTATAGTGCCAAAGTCTGCTCATGTCCGCTTCTGAAATAGCCGAAGCAACCTGGCCAATCTCGGTGCTTCCCTTCAGATAATACAAATTCCGATTGCGGACTCCCCTCATCACCACCAATGATCCCTTAGTAACCTTCGCTACAGCATTTTCGAAAGTCACCTTGAATCCCTTCGCCTCCAAAGCTCCAACTGAGATAAGATTTTTCTTCAGTTGAGGAACAAATATCACCTCCTTTAACTCACGTACTACTCCATCGTGCATCCTAATCCGTATGGTACCTATCCCACAAACGCCACAGGATTGATTATTTCCCATGACAACAACGTCCCCGTCGACTTTCTCAAAAGATGCAAACCAGTCTCGCCTAGGGGTCACATGAAAGGTAGCGCCGGAATCAAGCATCCAATCTGATGCATCCACATGGTTCACCTCCGGAGTAATCAGTAGAGAAAAGTACGAATCATCGGAATCATCGCCTTTCGCAATGTTCACCTCATTGGCCTTCGGGCCCTTTTTCTTGTTATTCTCCTTCTCTTTGAGCTTCGGGCAGTCTCTCTTCTAATGTCCCTGCTCCTTGCAGAATGCACATTGGTTCTTTGTTAGTTGGTGACGGCCTCTAGATTTTGACCTCCCTCTGTTACCACCTTTCGGATATGGGCTTCTACCTCTTGTCGACAAGGCCTCTCCTGAA